ACAGAGCCCACCTGATGTTGGCCCTTAGTAGCTAAAACCTTTTCAGGTTTTTGGACCGTAGATATACCGGTTTCGTCCATATTAAAAATTCTAGTGGACTTGAAAGGATGTTTCTTGAAAACTTGTAATCTACTTCAGATTTGTTAAAGGCAATAACTCGGTTCAGACTTGTTGCTGAGAGTTGTCTTAGGCTTAATGTAGCATTCCTCTTACTTAATCCGAAAACCCAGTCCTCCCCACCTATTTTGGTACCTGTATTAAAATTATGTTTTATTTTTAACTTTTCAGTAAGATCATACGCAAGTCTCCGTAAGTCTGTCATAACTGGTTTGATAGTTGTTTGACGTGATCAGCTAACATAGCTTCTTGTTCTGCTGAAAAGTACGATTTTCTTCCCAAGTCTGGTTTTTTCGGTAGAATTAGATTTGATGGGGCCATGTGGCGCAATTCTTGGAATATTCAATACAGCGGCAACACTTTTTACGGATCGTCCACTTTGAACCAATTCAAATGCCCTTTTTAGTGACTCCTCGTTTCATTTGCCCCTTTTCGTTGTTCTTTTTCTCGACCTCACTAGCTAAACCACATCAAAAGAAACGTCTTTGGTATCAAATAACTGCATATTTAATTTTAAAATAAATGGGGTAATACCGAGACCTGTCGATATTTCCCCTCATTGGTGTGTCGGCATTACCCCTGTAGGACAAGATGGCGGTTACATAATTCTACAGACTTAACGGAATGTTAAAATATAATATGAATTATACTAAAATTATCTTTATAATTTGCACTTTATATTTATCTAAGTGGTTTTATAATAATATAATTTGTCATAGAGTTACCTTCATTTGTAGAGAAGTCAATAATTATATCAAAAACTAATAAAACACATAATTCAGGATAAAATAACTAGTTTGCTTTGATGACATAAACTAACTGAGAGCTAACTGTGGTGTCACTCGCTAAGCAGCAGCACTATACAGTGACCAGTGACGTGTTCAACTAAAAATAAAACCAAAACCCACTGTATGGGTATTCCCGCCCATATGACGGGATTCCCCCGGTCTACCCTATCAGTTTTAAATTGTTTATAACTAAAAAACGATCAAGTTTACGGAAAAATTACAAGAGACTTATTTTGTTCAGAATGATCCAAAAAAAATTTTTTAAAATTGTCCGGGTCGAAAAAATTGATTATTACAATTTGTTTAAAAAATATTAAAAACTTTTCGCTTGGGCAACCTCTTGAACCTTATTTTATGATATTTGATGAAAGTGGTTATGCAAAAAATTTAAAGGGAATATGTTTCCGATTGAATCCCAGCTTTTCGCCTTGTCTAAAAATTCGAACGAGGCGGAGGAATGATACAATAGAAGCGCCATTTCTGCGTCTTTTAGAAATAACAACCTTCTCGCATTTAGTATAATATACATAGGATTGTTATGAAAATCGTTATGAAACTTTCTTTTGAAAATCTTGACCAAAACACCCATTCAATTTTCCAATTTCACGGCACTTCTCGCTTTTCTAACGTCCCTGCAGAATAATATTTCAATACCCAAATATCTTGACCCGCTTATTTCCCCTTAGAAAATCTCAAGAGGCACCACTTCCCTATTCTGATCTGCCTAGGGAACAAATATATAAACGGCAACGAACGGCTGACATAATTTCCCATCCTGTTAACGACAATTATGTGGAACAAATGAAAATCGCGGAAAATCCTCGCGCGTTTCCACGGACGAGTACACTGTAAATGGTGCATTCAAATGCATAATTTGAATGATGGTATTATATTGAGTGCACTTTATATAAATAGCAGCATACTGACTAGTTTATATTAAGCTTATATGATGTGGTCTTGGTATCTTGTTCTTTCTGATCACCTTTCTAGTTTCTGTTATTTTTTATTTGAAGTTCTATTAAAGGCTATAGCGGGATAAGATGATCAAAATTGCACCATGCTCGATTTAGTTTTGGGCCTGGCCATTCGAAAGGACATAACTAAAAACTCACTCGGTTAAATTTTCAAGTCCTTAGGTGCCTCTGGGGGTTCGCTATGTGAAAAAACGTATTTAAAGAAAAAAAGTTTTTTTTAGACGCTGCATTGCTGCAAAAAATCTGAAAAAGTTCATGAAAGCGTAGTTTAATAATACCTGATTTTTTTCAGATTTTTAACTTGAAAATTGAGCCAAGGAAAAATATTTGAAATTTTCAGTAATATTTTAGGTTATGTCGGAAATTTTTGGCCAACTTTAAAACAATGTTTTTTTATGGTTTTTTTTTTTCGTTCTTTCGAATGACATAGGTATTACTATCATTTTCAACGTGGAAAATGCCTCAAAATCGAAAAAACTGCTTTTTTTGGTATTTTTCTGAAGCACCCCCACCCCTTAACAATAAATTGTATGGGCCTAGGAACAAAACAGAAAAAAATAAGTATTACATAGAAAACAAAAAAATTATTTATACTGCCATAAGATACAATAATATCAGTTTTTTTAAAATAAAAAAAATATTAATAAAATAAACATAAATTAGGTTTTTTAGTGAGATGGATGACTCATAACCTTAACAACATACATCTAAATTAATGATAATTTTAATCATATTTTTATATGTATTTTTACCTTTACAATCGAAACAAGCTATTAAAACTATTATTTTTTTCCTACAGCATGCTAAAAAAAACGAAAAACCCTGTTTTTTCGGCGTTTTTTTAAGCTTTCGCTATATAACCTCTAAAGTCAGTGTCTAAATAAATGGTAATTTACATTTTCACATGTATCTTCCCCTTTACAATCAAAATCAGTTATTCAAAGCATTAGTTTTATCTCACAACTTTCTGAAAAACCGAAAAACCCCGTTTTCTCCATGTTTTTACTACATAACCTCAAAAGACTCTGAAAAATGAATCGTGTATTAGAACGCACTTGTACACTTAAAAGTTGTGGAAATAAAAAGCTAGCGAATATATCTACATATATACGTGATATTATATCACAATGTACATGCATTTATACACAAACGCATATCTATATAGTTCCATGACTTTTGAGATCCTTGTTATATAAATTCATAAGCTCGTACCATGCTCGTCCATGTCTTACTCTTCCGCTTAAATACAAGAGCCTTATACCCATGCTTATATTATTATTATTTTATTTTATATTTTATATGTACTTAACGTTTTTGGCCTTCGTGTCTTAGCCCGACATCCCGCATATCCAGGGAGCCTGATTGTAACGAAAACATAGCGTTGATAGTTGCGCCACACAGTAGTTGATATTAGGCGACGCAACTACCAACGCCATGTATATATGATATAATCAGGCTCGCATTATATATTGCTCTTAGTGCGTTTGCGTGTGTAGGGCCATATCCTCTGTATCGCTCTTAGTCAGTTTGCGTGTGAGGGCCTTTATCATTTCGGCGGGGCTTTTCCTCAAATGGTCAACAACTTTGTTGTTTTTGCATTGTTTTGTCTCTGCACATGTCCCAGCCATGACAGTCTTTGACTTTTCACAAATCTTACAATGTCATAACCTTCATTTAACCCATTAACCTCGTCGTTTCTCCTGATTTTCCATGTGTCATCTTCCTATCGTACCGGGCCATATACTTTCCTCAGTATTTTTCTCTCGAATGTCCTGAGTTGGGCTTCATCTTTTTTCGTCATTACCCAAGTTTCACATCCATAGGTTACTACGGGTCTAATCAGTGTTCTGTAGATAGTCATTTTGGTTCTTTAACTGACTGAGTCGTATGCGGCTTTGAAATCCACGAATATGTGGCCGGTGTAGAGTCCGAACTCAAGCGTTTTCTCAAGAATCTGCCTGACTGTGAAGATTTTATCCGTTGTTGATTTATTGGGTCGGAAACCGCACTGGTAGTTCCCAACTATTTGTTCAGCATTGGGGATCAATCTTCTGTACAATAAGTTTGGATAATACTTTATATGCCACGCTAAGTAGGGTGATACCTCTATAATTATCACACATACTACATGTGTTTAAAAAGAGTGTCACCAACATTTTTAAAGAATTCAGCAGGAAGATTGTCCAAACCAGGGGCTTTGTTATTTTTCGATGGGGGCGGCTCTTGAGCGGTTTCATCCATTTCAGTCAAAGTCATTTCTATTTGGTCTTCTTCACGATTGTCGCTAAGCAGTTCTTTAAAATGATTCGCCCACCTGTTTAGTATCTTTTCTTTGTCACTAATTATGGAACCATCTCTATCTTTACATGCTGTTATTCTAGATTTGAATTCTTTTCTGCAGCTGTTTATCTTTTGGTAGAATTTTCGGAAGTCTTTTCTATTGTGGTGGTTAACAATCTCGTTTAGATCTTTGAACAATCTTTGCCTTTACATGCTGTTATTCTGGCTTTGCATTCTTGTCTGCAGCTGTTTACTTTCTGGTAGAATTTTCGCGAGTCTTTAATATTGTGGGGGTTAACAATCTCTGTTTTCTTTTTCCTTTCAAGGAATACACATTCAAGTGTATTGGACAGACTTCTTAGTTTACCTGCACTATACAGCGTATGCACATTTCAAGTAAATAAACCAATATCATTAATCTTATCATTAACCTTATTTCGTTTCCCAAGTCATCGACAAAAAATTCGTCCGGCTGATTGTTTTGAAGTTTCCGTAAAAGAAGAATTTTTACAGGGAAGTATTAACCCACTGCCCAATCCCCAACCTGGAGGACCAGTTCACCCGCTTTTGTCAGTTGCCTACCCAACCTTCTATCCGGGTTGGACACCGAATCTCCAGTTGGGTTGCTTGGTTTAACAGGGGACACCAATGTGAAGGAATCAACTCCATATTTTCGAATCCTACTTCTTTGTCCTCCCAAGAAATCCCTTGCTAGCCATTTAATTCACAACACAGACAGGCAACTAGTTCAACTTTTTAATATAATTTTTAGATAATTCGTAGTTTTTTATAGCATGTATATAATAATATCAAAGTACTAATTATTTTATTTTTGTTTTAGAATGCGAGAGTATGTCGAAGAAAACGAAAAGAACGACCCTCTAATCCACGCCCCCGATAAAAAGAATAACCCTTGGGCGGAGAAAGGAAAGTGCGTCATCATGTAGAATCAACAGCTGATCTTCGGCTTCCTAGTTATTATTTTCCCCTTTCTGATAATGATTTTGCCCAACATTAACAGTTTGTTGCTTAATCCGATAGTAATTTATTAGTTCCGATTCTAGAAGAATATGCTCCGGCGCAGCAGTCCATTCTGACAGTGTACCCAAAACAAAAACCCTACAGTTTAAAAAGATTTTCCAAGAATGCCATTGTTATGTAGTTTAACTATAACCAGTTTGAAATTTTTAACTATTTTTTATTACACGTAGTCTACGGAGTGGAGTTTTTATTTCCCGTCGTGTACAGCGGTCAAAAACCTTGTGGAGGATAGATTATTCACCTCATCTTCTATCCAATACACACAGGAGCTTTGCTGGGGAGGAACAAATAACAAATTAAATATATTATATACTGAGTGTATTTAGCTTGATATTAGCTTTGTTGGCAAATATAATAGTCTAAGGTGACCCAGCTGTTGTTCAGCAATTATTAAAAATTTTATTACTTTTAAGATACTCACTTATATATATATATGCTATGTGTGTATTTGTAGGGTAGGTATTCAAGATTTTGTTCCTCCCCCAACGACATAAGCAAAAATCCTTTCTTTTGGCTGTTTTATACCTACATAATTAAACATTCCGCTCCAAAATATAACATATTTTAAATAATGCTTGTTTGTGTACTTTTATTACTATTGTAGCTGTAGAAATATTTATTGTATGATATTGCAAAAGCATCTTATTTATTCCTTTTGAAATACAAAACGAATAGTTCATTATGACAAAATGACAATTTACATCAACACTGTTATTGCTCTTAAATATCTACTGACCTTGGTTATTGCTTATACTCCTAAACTGTTAATATACTACCATCTATTTCTTAGTTTTTCAGCTCATCGTTAGGTGGCGCTCAATTGTCTTAAAGTCAAATTTTAGCTTCTACATTATATCACTATGAGTGAATCTAGTCAAAATAAAATAATTAATAATAAGATTATAGTTATATATAATTTTGGTTGGTAAAACAAGAAGACATCGTTTTAAAAACTTCATTTTAATTAGTGCCATCTAGTAATGAGTGGGAAAATTATTGTTAAAGGGACCGGCAACAAAAATTCCTAATCTTTTTAAAGGTATTCCAAACAACTGCATCTAACTTTTACCATCATGAATACCTTTTAAGAGACTGTGAAATTTTTATTTTTATCAGTATAAGTGAAATAATTTAGGCGTGTATTTGTTATTTAATATTACTCTACATTTCTGTATGTGTTGCATTATAATATTTAACTACTCATTCATTATCGGAATGTTTTATATGATAAAATTTGTTTTTTTTTTCGATCAGTGAATATTACAAAGCTTGGTAATATTCACTGATTTCTCGTTTAATGTCTTACCCTGCTTCTGAAGAAGCTTTAATTTTTATAAAATTCTAATGAGGATGCCTTTTGAACAGTATTCTTCACCATCGTCCGCTTGTTGGTTCTGAAAGCATCCTGTAACCTACAGTAGCAACTGAAGCAGGGTAATATTAAGCCCTACCAATAATACTTTAGTACCTTTTTTAAATAATGGTACATTTGCCTCCCAATCGAGGCTATTACAGGTTTTTATATACATGGTAGAATTCTAAACAAAAGACATTAAGCTTTAGCCTAGTCACAAGTCAAATTTCAAAAGCTGTGCAAATTACTTTCAAAAAATCGTATGTACACATAACAATTGACACTTCCGCCGAATACAGCGTACTTCCAGAGGAAGAGTGTTTCCTCTAACGGCTGTCCGCTGGTTGGTGGGCACTACTTTAGCGTAACGAAGGTTTCGTCCTCTGACCATCGGGACAGCTAACGCTGAGAAATTGATATTTGATTGGGCCTGACAGCCTAAAGCTTTTTTCTAGTTTTTAAGGCATTGTAAAGTTATAGTAGCGTTAGTCAATGCATGCTTTGATTTTAACGATAACTTATTATAATTCAAGTTTTTGCAGTAGGTTAAGTGTTCTTTAGACTAGGAGTAAGTTGAACATAACATGTATGTACCAAGCACCAGACTATGACGACAAACAATTGAACGGCAATCGATATACCTGCCGCGGGACCTTCGGTCCCTTACCGATAAAGACAATTTTCTTTTTGTTTTGAGGATATTTTCCACGGCTTTTGAAGGGTGACCAGATATTTATTACTAGCTGTAAACAATATGAGTATTCAATTAAAATATACTATACCTATAAGCTGAAAAATGTACCAGTTGATAATAAAATTATATTATACCTTCTTGATCATACATAGTCTTTTTCTTACCTTATCTTTTCGTATATTTTCTCGCACTAAATTAAAGAACACTAGGTACACCAAATTGAGAAATAATTGTTTAGACCAGGGCGAATCTGTAATCGGGCTTTGGGTAGCTATAATAAAAATAAAACTGCAAAACGCAAACAGACTCAAACATTTTTCAAGAATTTATCAATTCATCGTCCAGCCGAATTTTCACATCCATTGTTGGATATAGGCCTCCTCCAAACGTCTCCAGTTCTCTCTATCTCTAGCTGCTGCAATCCAGTTTGTTTCTATCCTCCTTAGGTCGTCGGTCCATCGGGTGGGTGGTCTGCCTCGACTTCGCTTGTCGGCTCTTGGTCTCCACTCCAATAATCTCTTCGTCCATCTTCCGTCTTCCCTTCTAGCAACATGTCCAGCCCACCTCCACTTTTGTTTATTAATTCGCAGTATAATATCGTCTACGCCAGTTCGTCGGCGTATCTCCTCATTTCTTACGCGATCTTTCAAGGTCAGGCCAAGCATTGATATCTCCATTCGCCTTTGTGTTACCCTCAGTTTTTCGGCAGTAGCTTTCGTTAAAGTTAAGGTCTCTGCTCCGTAGGTCAAGACTGGTAAGATGCATTGGTTAAATGCCTTCCTTTTCAGGTGAATTGGGATATTTGTTTTAAAAATGTCTCTCATCCGTCCATATGCCGCCCATCCCACCATGATTCATCTATTTAGCTCGCAGGTTTGGTTGTCTCTGGTTATTCTAATTTCATGACCCAAGTATGTGTATTTATCGATTAATTCTAGCTTGTTGTTATTGATCTGTATCTCTTCGCTGGGAACCATATTGGTCATCATTTTGGTTTTCTCGAAATTTATCTCCAGCCCAGTTTCTTGTAGTATGTCATTCAGTTCTTGGAGCATGTCTTTGATCTCTCCCAGATTATCTGACAGAAGCACGATATCGTCCGCAAAACGTAGATGGTTTAATCTTTCTTCATCGATGGATATTCCTTTCTGTTGCCATGTTAGTTTTTTAAATGCATACTCTAGAACGGTAATGAACAGCTTTGGTGACATGGTATCACCTTACCTGACTCCCCTTTTTATCTTTATTTTATTAGTTGCAGAATATAGACTTATGGTTGTTGTGGCAGTTTCATATATATTTTTAATTATATTACAATATCTGTGGTCGATCCTGCAATCTTGTAGTGCTCTTAAGATGGACGGTAGTCCACTGTATCAAACGCCTTTTTAAAGTCTACAAATATCAATGCCAAGGGACGGTTATATTCGTTAGTTTTTTCTATTAGGGTTTTTAGGCACTGCAGGTGATCGTTTGTGCCGTAATTAGGGCGGAAACCAGCTTGTTCCCGAGGTTGGTAAAAATCCAGCTTTGTCTCTAATCTATTCGTTATTATTCGGGTGTATAATTTATAAAGATGGTTAAGGAGACTGATTGGTCTGTATCTTTCCAAGTCTGCTATATCTCCCTTCTTCTGTAAGAGTACAGTTATTGAATTATTCCACTTTGTTGGGATATTTTGATTCCATAGGCATAGATTAAAGAGCTTTTGAATTTTGGCTATCAGTACTGCCTCCTATCTTTGTCGCTTCCGTGACGACACCGTCCTCCCCCGGAGCTTTGTTATTCTTCATCTTTTTTAGTGCCTTGTAAATTTCGTTCAAGGAGATTTCTGGAATATCTTCGGAACCCTGATTTTTAACCTTCCTCTGTTGATATTCGACTATATCTAAAGTCGATTGGTTGCTATATAATGTCTCATAGAATGATTCCACAATTTGTAACAAATGTTCTCTGTTTGATGTGATGTTGCCATTTCTATCCTTGAGTTTGACTATTTGTTTATTTCCATTTGTGAATTTGCGTCTTATTATTTTCATACTCTTATTTTCCTCAATGGTTTTGATGATTTTCTCATTTTTGTATCTTCTTAAGTCTTTTCTGATTTCTCTTGATACTTCCTTGTTCATTCTATTTATATCGTCGTTACTAGCGTTTTCGTCGCTTCTCAGTATTCTTCTTTGTTCCATTTTTTTCTGTGTTTCCAGACTAATTTTTTCTTCTTTCACGCTTTTTGGGCAGAATTTCTTTTGAGCTTCTGTTATTGCTTCTACTATTATGTCATTTAGAATGTTAATATCATTTGTTGATGATTTTTCTTGAAGGAATTTACCGATATGCTCTTCAAAATTTTGTTCGTTGTTTGGATGTGTCCATCTGTTTATTTGCTTCTTTTTTATCATATTGTGTCGTTCATAGTTGGTATTTAACACAATGGTGGCTCTCACCATACGATGGTCGCTTGATTTCGCAAATTTATTTAGCACTGTCACATCTGTAAATATGTATCTTTTATCAGTAATAAAGTAATCGATCTCGTTTGTCGTGTTCCGATCTGGGCTTTTCCATGTCCATCTGCGGTGAGGTTTCTTGTAGTAGTAACTGTTCATTAGGAATAGGTTTTTCTCTAGTAGGAAGTTTAAAAGAGTGTCGCCACGGTCGTTCCGTCCCTGACTTAGTGATCCAGTTTTGTTCCTATTTTGGCGTTAAAGTCTCCACATATAACTGTGAAATGTGTGCGGTTGTTTGTGATGGCTGTACTTAAATCATCATAAAAGACTTCGATCTCCTCGTCTGTATATTATGTTGTTGGAGCATAGACTTGGATAACTTTTAGATTATATCTAGTATTTATTTTAAAGGTGGCATATGTAACTCTAGTGGATACTGATTGGACAGTTTTTAGATTTCCTGCTAGCTGTTTATGAAGAATCCGACGCCTCCTACTGACTTATGTTGTTCTCCGTGATAGTAAAACAAGTGACCGGATTTTAGGGTCTCTTCTGTTTCGTTAGTAGGGAGAC